GAAAAAAAAAAAAAAAAGGACGCCTAGACCCGCCCAGGCCTCCTAGACCCACTCAGGCCGCCTTTTGGAAAAGAAAAAAAAAAAAAAGGACGCCTAGACCCGCCCAGGCCTCCTAGACCCACTCAGGCCGCCTAGAACCGCCCAGGCCGCCTAGGCGCCGTCTAGATCCGCCCAGGCCGCCTAACTCCCTTATAGCATCAGAGTTGTTATCTTAGTGGAGATTTCAATAGCTGATGAATGGCATTTGATGGTTTCATAGAGAGAGTCCAATCCAATCCAATCAACGTAGCAGCCGAAAAGAAAGAAAAAAAAATTAGCAGCTTGAGTTGAGAGAGAGAGAGAGAGTTTTTGAAGCTTGGAAGCGCTTATAGAGAAGCGAATCGCTGCGACTGCGAATATATTTAAAGCGTATAGCCGATCGGCTATACCTTTAAATATTCGAATATATTCAAAGAGCATAGCCGCACGGCTATCCCTTTTAAATAGTACAGCCGCCCGGCTATACTATTTAAATATACAATTTTGTCATGATATTTTAGGGTTTAGGGCTAAAATACCACTTTAGCTAATTAGGATAGAGTTATTTCTTCAATTATTTTATTTATACTAGTGATATTGGGGAATGAGAATTTAAGTTCTTTTCGATACCTCTCATTCTAATGATTTCCAGCTATTAGCCCATTAGGCAAGAATAAAAAATGGATTTTATTTATAAGAAATAATACGGGTGAAACCCATAAATGCAACAACAAAAAATAGGAATCCAATCCAAAGGTTTTGGACCTTTCTACACATTACCAGTCACAAGATTTTTATTTGTGCAGCTCTTCTTGCCAATTAATTTTATGATTTTTAGCACCCTTCTACACATTACCTGTTACAAGATTTTTAGCAACCTTGTAAAATTCAAAGATGCAACTTCATAACATCCTCAATTTTGGCATTACCATACAAAGGTTTTGGACCTTGAGTAGACCAAGTAGCGGTGGTTAGAGCATTTTATCAAATAGTTTTGCGATGAACTAGCAGTGTTAGAACAGCTACCAACTTCCAACTCTTGTCCTCTTCAGAAAAACATTATGGGGATAATCTAACTAAAAAACACATTGGCTGCAAAATTTAAATAATACCTATTTTATTGTTGTCTTGTAAGTTCATCTCTGAAAGTTGGCTCTTCAATAATGTGAACAAGAAGTAGTAATATAGGTTCGAATCCTACCGACCACGTTTTTCCATTTTTGAATTACCTCAAGATGAATTTCCTTTTTTTATTTTTTATTTTGACATTTGGCTACAGAACTTCTTAACAATCATGAGTCACTTTTGAAGTTTTACATGTACAGATTCAAGCCTTCAAAGTGAGGGCCTTGAGAAGGAGTCCATTTTCAGTGATTTTGAAGTTTTACATGTACATGTTCTCTCTCAAAATCTTCATCTCTAATCCTAGTGCCATTCTACATATCTCCCCAGACTGTGTGGGTGGGATGTATCACTTGATGAAAACCCATGCAGATACAGGGAACCATCAGCATCACCAGTATCCACCCAACTATATCCCACTTCCTTTCTCACTCCTTTATCTCTCATCCATTTCCCAACTTTTGCTATCATTTCCCAGTCCCCTTTCTCAGCATACAAGTTGGACATCAACAAAAAAGAACCCGATTCCATTGGTTCCAATCTCATCAATGTATCGGCTACTCTCTCCGCCATCTCCACTTTCCCATGGATCCTGCACCAGTCACTAATCCAAGTTTGATCAAGGAAGAGTGGCATCATTGGCCATATTTCAGAGAAATATCCTGAGCATCACCAATTGCACTCAAGACACTACCAAATGTGTAATTGTCTGGCTTCGACTCCATAGTTGCAACCAAGAATGTTTTTAGTGCATCTTGACACAGCCCGTTCTGAGCATACCCTGAAATCAAAGCATTCCACGATATGATTTCTCTGCAGTTTAACTCCTCAAAAACTTTGATGGAGTCATGCATGGACTCAAACTTAGCCTATACCCAAGCTGTTGCAAAAGCCAGTCTTTATGCAAAACCCATGAATCATTTCGCCTTCCTCCACCAACTTCCTAATTGATATAGCATGGATTAGTCTAACAAATGCAACATCATTTGGATATACTCCATCCAATCTCATCATTAAATAGAGAGATGGCAACTTCTTCGTCTATTGAAATCATTGGCCTTGAGAAGGAGTCCATTTTCAGTGATTTTGTCTCCCACATGTTCTCTCTCAAAATCTTCATCTCTAATCCTAGACATTTTGCCATTCTACATATCTCCCCAGACTCTGGGTGGGATGTATGACCTGATGAAAACCCATGCAGATCCATGCAGATAAAGGGAACGATCAGCATCACCAGTATCCACCCAACTATATCCCACTTCCTTTCTCACTCCTTTATCTCTCATTCATTTCCCAACTTTTGCTACCATTTCCTAGTCCCCTTTCTCAGCATACAAGTTGGACATCAACACAAAAGAACCCGATTCCATTGGTTCCAATCTCATCAATGTATCGGCTACTCTCTCCGCCATCTCCACATTCCCATGGATCCTGCAAGCCCCAAGCAGGCTTTGCAACAACGAAAACCGTCGCTGTCCTGGGATCTGACTCATCAATTCCTCTGCTTCCTCCAATTTCGCTGCCCCAAGCAGGTCTTACCCCTTCTCTCTCCATATCCTTGAACAATTCTATCACTGAGTCATAGTCTCCATGCCCAGCATATGCAGATATTATTGCAGTCCAAGCAAACTGGCTTTTATGAGGCGTCTCACTGAAAACTCTTTTGGACTCACAAATGCTTCCTCGCTTTGCATACATATCAAGAGCACCTGCGATAATTGGGCCAGTCACTAATCCAAGTTTGATCAAGGAAGAGTGGCATCATTGGCCATATTTCAGAGAAATATCCTGAGCATCACCAATTGCACTCAAGACACTACCAGATGTGTAATTGTTTGGCTTTGACTCCACAGTTGCTACCAAGAATGTTTTTAGTGCATCTTGACACAGCTCGTTTTGAGCATACCCTGAAATCAAAGCATTCCACGATATGATTTCTCTGCAGTTTAACTCCTCAAAACTTTGATGGAGTCATGCATGGACTCAAACTTAGCATATACCCAAGCTGTTGCAAACATTATGCTTTGATAAAAAGCCATGAATCATTTCGCCTTCCTCCACCAACTTCCTAAATGATATAGCATGGATTAGTCCAACAAATGCAACATCATTTGGATATACTCCATCCAATCTCATCTCATTAAATCATAGTTGTCCAAGACACTACGTTGCGATCATTCATGCACTGAAAGACTATGTCGAGATCAATACATTACAAACTGAAACATGACTTCCATATCCTGATTTAATTATCAAGCCATGTATCTGTTTCCCAAGTTCTAAATTCATTTCATGACCGCAAGCTGAAACTGCACTAGTAAATGAGACATGATCTAACCCCATCCCTTCTGCCACCATCTCAATAAAGACAAAAATCGCCTCAAGCCCATGATTTCCCTCTTGAGAGTAACCTGATAGTATTGCATTCCGTGAAACCAGATCCTCATTCGCCATTTCATCAAACACATTCCTAGCTTCTATTAATCGCCTCTACCTTGAATACATACTTATAAGTGCATTTCCAACAAAAACTTCACCATCTAAACCAGACTTAAATATAAGAGAACACAGTTGTAATCCAAATAGAAAATCTTCATGATCCGCACAAAAAGCAAGAATCGTAGTATAAGTCACTGGATCAAAAACAACTCCATTAAAATTCATCCTAAGAGAAAAATTCAATGCACCCTCACTTGTTCGAAACCCCAAAAGAATAGTATTCCAAGAAACTATATCAGTATAGCACATAGTCTCAAAGATAAGTAAGGGACCATCAAACTGTCCAGCTTTGGTGTAAATACTCATCAAAGAATTTGAAACCGTAGTGTAGTATACGAAGCAAACCTAGAAGAAACTGCAAACCCATGAATTTGGCATCCGGGTTTGGGGTCCCCTTGACAGGCCTTGATAGCAAGGGCTCTAAGGGTAACGGTAACTTCATCGAGTTCATTTCTCTGTCTCTTCATTTCACTCGCGCACCACATTCCTCTGTTAGTGCAAGCTTCGTCTGTCTTCATTTGGAACAAAAAGGAGGCGGCCAGACCCGCCCAGGCCGCCTAGATCCGCCCAGGCCGCCTAACTCCCTTATAGCATCAGAGTTGTTATCTTAGTGGAGATTTCAATCGCTGAATGACATTTGAATCAACGCAGCAGCTGAAACGAAAGAAAAAAAATTTCAAATATATTCGAAGGGTATACATTGAAAATAATATATTTAAATAGTATAGCCGCTCGTCTATACCTTTAAAATATTCGAATATATTCGAAGCGTATAGCCGCACGGCCATACCGTTAAAATAATACATTTAAATAGTATAGCCGCGCGGCTATACTATTTAAATATACAATTTTTTCTTGTTATTTTAAATTACCACTTTAGTTAATTAGGATAGAGTTATTTCTTCAATTAATTTTTTTTTATACCAGTGAAATTGGGGAATGAGAATTTAAATTGTTTCCGCTACTTCCCATTCTAATGAGTTCTAGCTATTAGTCCATTAGGCAAGAATAAAAAATGTATTTTTTTTATAAGAAATAATACGAGTTAAACCCATAAATACAACAAAAAATAGAGATCCACCAACATTTTGGGGATAAAGGAATCTTGAATCTCATAGTGTAAAATTGCTTCTGTAAGAATTTACTTTCTAAAATGTGTCCATCATAATTATGAACTAAGCCCAATGACAACTTTTTTCTCATTGCACTTGACAACCTTGCTCCTCTGCTTTGAGATATATCAATTCGCGTTGTACTCTTTGCAGATGAAAAATTGGATACAAAACAGTCTAATGAGACAACGAAGAGAAGAGTTTTGAAATAAATTGAAGGTATCCGAGGTCATATGGCATGGATATATATATGAACTATTCTAAATGAGATTTCAAACAACGTGTTAGATGAGAAGTAGCATCTCATTATTACATATACTACGGCTGATTATGTCAATCAGCAAAATTTCAAAAATGACTGTAGACTGCTTGTTAGTATTGTCATAGCACCAAGAAGTACACACTTTTAAGCTGAGAAATAAGCAAAAAGACCTAGACACAAAAAGAAACTAATCACTGATCAACACCTACCTATTCAACGCTTACGCTCAGCCCGCCACTTGAATACAGGTTTGGATGTTGGGCAGGCTACCTCATCTTCCCGTAGTTTGCGTTTTCCACCCTTTTTCTGTTAATTTAGATTGACTTTTTTTCAACATTTTCCATGCACAACAAAAGAACCAGATCTACGAAAAAGAAATTTGGATGTCAATACCTGTAATTCCTTCTGCATTGCCATATCCGTACAGATTTTCTCCAACTCATTGACTCTATTCCTCCTTGCTTCTAGCTCTCTGTAGGAAGCAGTTGTTTTCCTGCACATTGAAGACAAAAGAATATAAGACTTAACCAAAAGACTAATATCGTTCTACAAGAATTCAGCACGACAGTGGAAACAGGAAGGAAGAAGTGTGCAACACTCCACCAATTGAAAGGTAGCATACCATGATATTGTAGAAATTTAAGGATAATAAGAATTTCTTAAAGCATGAGTGAGCTACCTAGGATTCAGGACGAAAATGGAAACAGGAAGGAAGAAGTGTGAACCACTCCACCATTGAAAGGTAGATTACCATGATATTTAAGAAATTGAAGGATAACAAGAATTTCTTAAAGCATGAGTCAGCTACCAAGAATTCAGGAGATAAAATAGCATAGAAGAAAAGAAAACTTAAGATATCATGATAAATAAAACAAATTTAAGAGATAGATTATTACACTACCAAATTTCTCAACTCCAACTAGCACTTGATAGTAGGGCCTCGAACCAACTTGTAGTTTTAACTTTTTAAAATCAAACTTGAAAAATCTCTAAGCCAGACTCCAAGCCTATAATCAGGTCTTTTCCACGTAATGCAGTCGGAGATGCAAAAGAATTGGATTGTGGTTGACATAACAGCAAAGGGCAGTACATCCCATTTGTTAAAAATACAGAAAACTTCAGCAATGTACTTGTGACCAATAAGATTCGCTTATCCTCTTTCAGGTCAATTAACATACTGACAAATCACAACTATAAAAAGCCAAATTGCATCCATTGAACTAAATATTAAGAGAATAGTTTTGCTTTAAACCTTTCTATTATGACGAAGTTTCTAAGTCCTATTCATATTCTGAGGGATTAATGGATTTGTCTCACAAAGTAATCTTATGGCGTTTCAAAAAAAAAGTACGAACCAATCAGTGCACAGTTACCCCTTGATAGAAAAATATGCCAAAATTCTATCAACCAAATCAAAAGGCATTTGTTTATATGATACTGTAACACACAGACACTCTTAATAGATTCTTAAACTGATAAAAATCAACAAACCACCTTCAATAATAAACATAACTCATCAATCTATCCCCTAACACTGAAAACTTTGTTTGTACCTTTTTATATGATCAGGAATGTCCTCAGAAGCAGGCATAGTTCCACTTTTTGAACATGATTGAATTTCTTTAGCCTCCTCCCTACAAACAAAAGGAAAAACAAAGATAAGATATATTTGAAAAAATGTTCAAAAACATGTGGAGTCTGACTGTAATTAGGCCAAACCTTAAGGGGGTGTAATTGAAAGCCTCCCTAAAAATAACAAGAAACAGAAAATGGTATCTCCAACATATCTAAGTCTGGTTACAAACTGGAGTCTGACTGTAATTAGGCCAAACCTTAAGGGGGTGTAATTGAAAGCCTCCCTAAAAATAACAAGAAACAGAAAATGGTCTCTCCAACATATCTAAGTCTGGTTACAAACAACAACAATAAGAAAAACTAAAACATTAAAAAGCAATCCACTTAATCAGATATAATTTTGATTTTCCAAAGACAGAAAAAGCGGATGAAGCTCAAACCTGTCTTCAGCAAAGTAAACGTGTCTACTTGAAGGCCGATTGTCAAGAGAGTGGAGTGTTGCAGTCAACTTTTCAATTTTCTGCATTGGATAACAGCATAATTATAACCAACAGGGTAAGCTGAAAAAACCACTTGATAAACCATAGCTTCTTGGTACCAGTATTAATAACCTTTTTCTCACTCTGAACTTTCTGAAGTATGTATCCAATATCTTGGGTCTTCATAAGTAAGAGCTCTTCTGGAGTGTACTTGTTTGCCTGACTCCTGTAGCAACAAGCTATGTCATTTGAGGAGCAAGTGCCAAAGAAAAATGATGAAGAAGCATTATACAAGAGTTCTATGTTACTCTAATTTATGGACTCCATCAACAGTTCGAGTCTTGATCATCTTGAAGTAGAACTCATCTGGGTTTCTAAAGGCCGCTTTCTCCTTCAGTCTCTGTTGAGTGAAAAGACAGATAAGACATAGCCTAAGAAATATACCATAATTGGAAGTTATATTACACGATTATAGACAAATGATGAAATCCAAGGAGACAAGCAACAAAGTCACCACAATTTTACCCGTAAAGTCTCCTCCTTCTAGTGATATGCTTTTGCACGCTCAACATAGTCCTTGTGCTTTTCAAGAAGCCCAAATTTTTTCCTCGATTCCCTAACAAAAATTTTGACAATAAATTAGATAATTCCCATGATCTGATTGATGCAAAACAACATTATCTGAAAGTCTAACAGCAAAGGGAATGTGGTTGCTCACGGTTGAGCTCGTTCCTTGTGAGCCCGCCTGCTAATAGCATTCCTTAGGGACGACATGCTGAATGAAGAAATCACCACAATCAACTGCGAAGGTAGCAAAAAGACTGAGTTTTAGTTTGTCAGTGTGCAAAAGTTCACTATTTATTAAGCTATGGAATTCAAGGTGCAACAAATATATATAACCATCTCCAGATATACTGCATCAAATTCTATATTTACAGTACGTTTGGATGGAGGAAAGGAATGGAATGAAATATAGCCTATATTTGCACCGATACGCCGGTCATGAAGGGTATCCTCGTATCGGATACTCCTCCGATACGATACGATACGAGTACGATACGCCTCCGATATGTATCGGATACGGCAAACGGCGTATCGTGTACTTTTTCTGTTATGTTGACCATTCAATATGTCTTCGATACGCCATGGACACACGAGCGATACGATCCTGATACGGTCAAGGATACGGCGGGGGTTATTTCGCAATACACAACCTCTTCTTCTAGATTCGACAAAGGTTAGGTTTTTACTGGTTTCAGCGGCAGAGAAGAAAGAAGAAGGAAAAAGGAAGAAGGAAGAAAATAACTTACTTGCGCTTGCAGCTTCTGCTAATCTCCAGTTGCAATCTGCCAAGAAGAGGAGGCTAACAAGTGAAGAAGATGATGTTAGGCTCCCCAGTCACAATACGCAGCGTTTTGGTTGCATGTTAAAAAGTGTTTTATACTTTTTGCCTCATACATTCATTTGGGCTCAAGCCAATAACCCTAAACTAGTCGTATATCGAAGAGGCTATAATGAGGAGTTTAAAGTGAGTAGGTTATTTGAGGAGGTTGATACGTATGGCCTATAAAAATATAAGAAATTAGAGAAAAAAACCCAAAAATGCTATACTTTATTTATAATTTTACATATATATACTCATGTTGTGTAATATTTGTTTTCATCTTGTCAGATACAAGGGTATGGTACCCATTCCACCCACAATGTATTAATATTTGACCAGATACTCCAAGTCTTGGGCACTTCCCAAAAAGATTACACCAATAATGAAACCAAAATGTATAAAGTTCATGTCACATGTGCATTATTGCAACCATAGATTTCTCCTGAACTGAACTGAGCCATAAACATTAATTCATAATTCATAATTTTTTTTAAGGCAAAACGACTCCTGTAGTCCCTGTGGTTTCCAACTTTTACCACTAAGGTCCCTGTGGTTTCAATTTCGTCACTTTTGCCACTGTGATTTAAGAGTCCAAGCAATTCGAGGACACTTCTCAATTTCCGTCAAATCTCTTTTAGCTCTGTTAGGGCATCAGCACGTGCCCCTCACATGGAGGGGCATTACGGTCAATCGAGCCATGTTATAAACCTAAACTCATAAACCTTCCTTCTTCCCCCAATAGAATGCAATAACTATTCAATTTCAATTTCAAAACCCTTCAAAAAAAACCTATTCTCAACCTACATTTATTAATAAATTTCCCACTCTCTCTCTCTTTATTTTATTTTTTGCTTAGAAAAGGAAAAGAAGAAAAAAAGAGAAATGGAAGAAGAAGGTGTAGGGTTGGTTCTGGCAAGAGCTACAGAGCTGAGGTTGAAGATCAGCAACTGCATCCACAAAGCAAATGACCCACCACCCGAAAGGGAAAATGGAATCCAAGCTGATGGTGAAGCAGGAGATGAAGACAGAGAAGAAGAAGAAGAAGAAGATGATGAGGCGCATAAGCTTTTCAACATTTGCGATGCCCTTGAATCCCTTGAGAACCAGCTCTCTTCCTTACAAGTTTGTTTTCCCCAAAACCCAATTTCGTTTATGTTGGTTTTGTTAAAAACCCTAATTTTGCTGAAGTAGTTTGTCTACTGCAATTGAGTGCTTAAAGTTTGAAACTTGCAGTTTGATGTATGTGAGTGTGTATGTGCTTATGCGAGTGTGATGTGTTAAATGGGTTGGTTTATGCTTGACTTCGGGTTTAATTTCTTTCGTGTTGGTTTATACATGGACTATAATACTTGGGCATTGTTTATTAGCTTCTTGATTAGTCTTCCTCTTTTTATGAATGCCAAATTGCACTTCTTTCTATTTGCTTAAGCAAAAAATAACATCAAAAGGAGGGATTTGTTGCTAGGTGTTATTTAAAATACAGAGTTGAACCAACGTTATTACCACATATACAATCAGAATGACTGATAAGGTACAGAATTCAGTATCAAGAGATATTAGGCATCCTTTCTGCTTTTAAGATGAAACAGTGTTGATTTCGGACTTGTTTTAGATGGTGGTTGTGTGGGGAGGAATAAGGGGAGACCTCGGTTTAATGTTCAAATATAAAAAAGGTAATATATGAGTGGAACCCCCAAATTGGAATTATGTTTATTTCTCAGAACTCGTTTGATTGTGCAGCCTTGCCCTTCTTATTTGAGGATTGGTGGATGTGTTTGTTGAACTACTAAAGTTTCAGTTTTTCATATAAAAGTGCTATATGTTAAGGGAAGATATAGCTAAGGATGCTTTTGAGTTTGTTATAATGATAGAAATAAAGTAAATTATAAAACACAAACCAGGGAAAGGTGAACCACTTCCCCGCAAACAATAAAACAACTTCAAATGTTCCAGCAACAATGTCAAATATGAAGCATCAGAAGTAGTGATGGAAGTACAGCAGCTAAACATCAATATCAAATGTTCCAGCAACTAAAACACTTCAAATGTTCCAGCAACTAAAAAACTTCAGAATGTTAACTAGTTGCTGCTCCCATGCAATTCCAAAACAAGTCACTTTCAATTCCAAAACAACTTAAAAAGGCTATTACATAACAAATGTTCCAGCAACTAAAAACGTCATAACTGCTCCTAGCAAATGCTATTCAAAATGCTATTACATAACAAAACAACTTCACAAAATAGTCAAATTTATACTTCATTCACTTCCTTGGTGCTTTCCCAGGTGGTTTCCATGGAGCACTACTGCTAACTCCCAATAGTCTTGGACCTTGTCTTGGAGTTGGATGCACAGAAGTAGATGGATTCACAGAGGCAGATGCAGATGGATTCATAGAGGCAGATGCAGATAAATTCACAGAGGCAGATGCAGATGGTTTTCGGATCTGCATTGAAAAAAATAAGTTTAGCAATCATTGTAATATACATGAAGTTGGAAAAAAAGAAATTGCAAAATTATGAACTGAAACTTACAGGAAGCTTTCTTCTTTGCACATTCGTTTGAGAACCTCTTGCATTCATTTCGGAAACAGATGCACTAGTTTGAGAACCAGAGCCTTTCTTTTTCTTTGAAGGATACCCAGTTGTCCATCTTTTATCAATATATGTTCCAGGTGGAGGGTCTTGTGGCTGATTCTTACAATTCCTCTTATTGTGGCTGATTCTTACAATTCCTCTACCATCAATATCAGTGTCTGATTCAGTACTCTCTTCTTCACCATTTTCTTCTTCATTACCCTTCTCATTAATGACATTCCCAGCCAGCTCTACAGGAACCTCTACAGTTCCTATGTTAGGCACTTGTTCTACATATCCTTGGGTCAATTGTGACTCATAATTAAAAATCTCATCAAAAAATGCATCTGGAACATCATCAAATTCTGCATTATAAAGCAATTGGGGTGGCCCAACATGTGGAAAATTTTAGCATAACCAAATAAGAATAAATATCATGGTTCATATTATTCATCATGGGATCAAATGACAAGCTTTATTTTCTAACAAAACCAACGATTTATATTAGATAAAATCACATCTTCCCAAAATGTAAAAAATTTATATTGATTTGTCTGGAAAAAAAAATTAACATATGAGTCAAGGCTGAACCAAGAAGAAAATTTGGGTTTTTTTTTTTCCTTCTGCCACCAAATACAGTGACGGTGATCAAAAGGGGTTTGGGAGAAAATGGCTATGTGATGAACCCCACATCTAAATTTGTTTGGTTGTTGACAGAGACACTTGTGCTGGTTTTTGCTTGCCGAAAGTTATCAGTTGTCATTATTTTCTTATGCAAATAAACAAGTACACTATTCTTCCTAAAGCCTTTGGTAGTGAAAACATGCACGGGACCACTGCCTTTACTTCCTATTCCAACAAAAAAAAACCCTTTACTTCCTAAAGTCTTTACTTTTCCACCACTAATAGACAATTGAAAAAACAAAGCATTCAAAGCAACAAACACTTTAACCATTGAAAGCCCATATATCAAATTGAAACTAAGCTAAGGCTACAAATCAGGGATAAGAAAAAACACATACAGACAATCGAAAAAACAAAGCATTGGCAACAAACACTTTAACCATTGAAAGCCCCTATATTAAATTGAAACTAAGATAAATAATCAAGCTCTTTCTAACCTGGTTTGTTCAAGCTTCCATTGCCTTCTCCTATGCTCTTCGTCATTTTGGTTGTGTAACCAGCTCCTTCAATCGATTAAATTTTATGCACATATGAGAAATTTTCAATTAAACCTTACAGCCCAAAAGAAATCCCTAATTTCTATTTGAGGATGCAAGCCTTCGTCTTCTCTTTCTCTGAAGTACGAAGAATGAGAAGTACATATATATACTCATGTTGTGTAATATTTGTTTTCATCTTGTCAGATACAAGGGTATGGTACCCATTCCACCCACAATGTATTAATATTTGACCAGATACTCCAAGTCTTGGGCACTTCCCAAAAAGATTACACCAATAATGAAACCAAAATGTATAAAGTTCATGTCACATGTGCATTATTGCAACCATAGATTTCTCCTGAACTGAACTGAGCCATAAACATTAATTCATAATTCATAATTTTTTTTAAATATGAAAAATTGTATTTTTTAAATTTTGGGTAAACAAAAAGGAATATATAAAAATAAAAAAGAACCATTTTGTTTTCTTTGGCGGGGAGCTTTGGCATTTGGCAAAACAAACAATAAAAAAGAGTGAAGGGCATCAAATAACAAAAGGAGTCTATCTACAAGCATGAGAGAGAGAGAGCCACCAGAGTCATTTAAACCCCGAAAGCATTAGCTGTGGTGCAGTTCTATTTTGGCGCTACTCATAAACCTTCCTTCTTCCCCCAATAGAATGCAATAACTATTCAATTTCAATTTCAAAACCCTTCAAAAAAAACCTATTCTCAACCTACATTTATTAATAAATTTCCCACTCTCTCTCTCTTTATTTTATTTTTTGCTTAGAAAAGGAAAAGAAGAAAAAAAGAGAAATGGAAGAAGAAGGTGTAGGGTTGGTTCTGGCAAGAGCTACAGAGCTGAGGTTGAAGATCAGCAACTGCATCCACAAAGCAAATGACCCACCACCCGAAAGGGAAAATGGAATCCAAGCTGATGGTGAAGCAGGAGATGAAGACAGAGAAGAAGAAGAAGAAGAAGATGATGAGGCGCATAAGCTTTTCAACATTTGCGATGCCCTTGAATCCCTTGAGAACCAGCTCTCTTCCTTACAAGTTTGTTTTCCCCAAAACCCAATTTCGTTTATGTTGGTTTTGTTAAAAACCCTAATTTTGCTGAAGTAGTTTGTCTACTGCAATTGAGTGCTTAAAGTTTGAAACTTGCAGTTTGATGTATGTGAGTGTGTATGTGCTTATGCGAGTGTGATGTGTTAAATGGGTTGGTTTATGCTTGACTTCGGGTTTAATTTCTTTCGTGTTGGTTTATACATGGACTATAATACTTGGGCATTGTTTATTAGCTTCTTGATTAGTCTTCCTCTTTTTATGAATGCCAAATTGCACTTCTTTCTATTTGCTTAAGCAAAAAATAACATCAAAAGGAGGGATTTGTTGCTAGGTGTTATTTAAAATACAGAGTTGAACCAACGTTATTACCACATATACAATCAGAATGACTGATAAGGTACAGAATTCAGTATCAAGAGATATTAGGCATCCTTTCTGCTTTTAAGATGAAACAGTGTTGATTTCGGACTTGTTTTAGATGGTGGTTGTGTGGGGAGGAATAAGGGGAGACCTCGGTTTAATGTTCAAATATAAAAAAGGTAATATATGAGTGGAACCCCCAAATTGGAATTATGTTTATTTCTCAGAACTCGTTTGATTGTGCAGCCTTGCCCTTCTTATTTGAGGATTGGTGGATGTGTTTGTTGAACTACTAAAGTTTCAGTTTTTCATGTAAAAGTGCTATATGTTAAGGGAAGACATACGTGCTGTTCTTTTTCTTTTCACTCGTAGAAAGAAAGAAAAAACTTGTTCTATCCACAAAAATTAGTTATTCTGTGGTTTGATATCTTCCAACATCTTGACTTTCAATCTATTTTGCCTATTCCCGATAACACTTGTCACCTGCACAGTGAAAATTCTATTATAGGTTGTCTACAAAGTATTTAATATTTGATATTACATTTTATGGTTCTTATCAGAGGCAATAGAGACAAATTATAGATATCACATCTGCTTGAAGTAGTTCCTTTTCACAAAGTTTTTAATTACTAAAGTAATTGGAAAGCAAATTTTTGCATCATATAGTGACCACAGGCAACCAATAGGAGTTGGCTTCGCTTCCTGAGTTCTTTCTCCTCCATGAGATGAACCCAAGACCTCCTCTTTAAGAGGATAAGTATTTCACTTGGCTAGAAAGGCTGGAGTTGCAATTCATCGAACCTGCATGCAAATGCACTATATGCATGTTAGCTTCCTGCACACATGAAATTCCAGAGTACTCAATTTTTACCATGGAGGGAGGCATTAGACTTGTGTTGATGCATAGTCATGTGAATAAGAAATGACTTGTGTTGAGCATTTTACATACTTGTATGAGGTTGGATGAACTCCCTTTTGTTTGTTTGACCCATGCTTGATGTTCTCAAATTGAAACATTCTTTTTGACGTACTAGCTAGATCTCGAAGTGTTAGCATATTTATTATTAATAATTTATTATAATTAATTAGTGACCGGTTGCGCTTTCCATGGAAAGCATACAGGTTCATTAAATGTGGCCATGTGTTTGATTTATTGTAAGAAGTATGTTATAGTCACAATGAAACGGTTTTATGTCTTGGAAAAGTGACGTGTGGGTTTACCTATCATTTTTATTTGGAAAATATATCAAGAACAAATTTAACATGTATAGGTAAGATAACTTTATTAGATTTGTAACCTTTTTTTGTTTTGTGTTTTCAATGATCAGGCTTTGCAACAGCAGCAAAGGTATGAGAGGGAAGTTGCCCTTTCTGAGCTTGAAAGCAGCCGAAAGATGCTGCTCAACAAGCTTAAGGAGTACAAAGGGAATGATTTGGAAGTGATACATGAAGCTTCTGCTTTTGCTGGTGAAACAGTAGAGCACAACAACGATCTCTTGCTTCCTCCATATCCAAGCCGCTCTCCACACACTTTTTGCCTAGAAAATAGCTATCTGCCACCTACACAAAAGTCTCTACAAAATGGGATAATCAATAGTGATCCAACAAATGAAGCAAAGAAGAAATTGAGCGAGACAGACAGAGATGAGGTGAAAACTGGATCCAAAAACTCAAGAGGGTTGGGATTTGTCCTCAGCACAGCAGCCAAGACCGTGCTTACTATTGTTGGCGTGGCATCTGTGTTAAGCTTGTCTGGTTTTGGTCCTAGATTTGTGAGAAGTAATACCACTTTCAAAATATCAGGCCTTTCTCAGCAACCACCGAGTAAAGAAAAGAGATCGACAATTGAATGCCCCCCGGGGAGAGTCCTTGTTGTGGAAGATGGGAAAGCACGATGCGTTGTGAAAGAGAGAGTTGAAGTTCCGTTCTCGTCAGCTGTTGCAAGACCAGATGTAAACTACGGTTGCGGTTAATTGTTTCTTCCTTCCATCGTTTTGTATATCTCTGCTTCGTTGTGATATGCTGTTATGGAAATTGCATCTCTAATGATCCAAGGGCTGTCCTAATCTTTCAGGAGTAGCGATTCTTAAGAATAGTAGCAGTTCGGGTTTTGTTGGGGGATGTTTAGTGACTTCTGGTTAGAGATATGATTTGAGATTATAAGTGACAAATTTATTTTAGCTTGCGTCACTTGAGCCAATAGCTAAAAGCCTTAAACCATGTTCCCCCATTAGCCTTAAATATCCCCTAGTTTTGGAAATTTGCTACATAATGATTCCCCTGCTAATGAAAAGCTGTGCTAAACATTGCTTGAGGATAAAGAATGGCACTCAAATCAACGGGAGTCTTGACCTAGTAGAAAATGGCTTTAACTTGTATATCAGTGGTTTCAAATTCGAACTCATGGCACTTTAGTAGTGCGTATGTGTGAATCATCATTCACTTTTGTAGTTTAAGTTATCATTTATATTTAAAAAAATAAAAAATAAAAAATAAAAAAAAGATATTCATAAAGTTCATATGAATTAGCTTGCTATTAGTCTCTCATAATATTTTTCTTCATGACAAAGAGATGTAGCTCAATTTTTTTAATTATAAATATTTCTTAATTTCATTGTGAGGGCTTCAACATTCTTTCCAATAAGGCCCGTGACCATATTTGCTTGGTGCATAAACGGTATGGCCCACCATGGAGAATCAGAAGATGGTAAAGTTTGACCCGAACCAAAGCTATGCATTATTATTGGGTTAAATTTAAGGCCGGATAACATGTGTCGGGTCCAAGAAAACCCAAAATATTGATTTGGGCTTCAGAAATCATACTATATATAGAAACCACAAACGCCTCTCTCAACCTTCTTCAACTCAATTCATTTTGAGATTTAGGGTTTGGGCAGCCGAAAACAGTCGCCATGGGACGAAGACCAGCCAGGTGCTACCGCCAGATCAAGAACAAACCCTACCCAAAATCACGTTTTTGCCGTGGTGTTCCGGATCCGAAGATCCGAATCTACGATGTGGGCATGAAGAAGAAGGGCGTGGATGAGTTTCCTTTCTGCATCCACCTCGTTTCTTGGGAGAAAGAAAACGTTTCGAGCGAAGCCCTCGAGGCCGCCCGTATTGCCTGCAACAAGTACATGACTAAGTTCGCCGGAAAGGACACGTTTCATTTGCGAGTTAGGGTTCATCCTTTCCATGTTCTCAGGATCAACAAGATGCTTTCTTGCGCCGGAGCCGATAGGCTTCAGACTGGTATGCGAGGAGCTTTTGGGAAGCCCCTGGGTACTTGTGCTAGGGTTGCTATTGGTCAGGTGCTTCTCTCCGTTCGCTGCAAAGACAGCAACAAGAGCCACGCTCATGAGGCTCTGCGCCGCTCCAAGTTCAAGTTCCCTGGGCGTCAAAAGATCATTGAGAGCAGGAAATGGTATGTTTTTTCTTTTGAGTTTATGGGTTATGGATTTTGCAATCTGTAACTCAAAACCCAAAATCCAATTTTTGATTTTGATTGCTTTTTTTTTTGTTGGAATATCATGGGTTCTGTTAATTGTTTAATTTTTGTCATAACTATAATTAGAATTAATCATTATTATGCTGAAACTTTGTCTCTGTGTTACTTTTCAGGGGCTTTACCAAGTTCAGCAGAGCTGACTATGTCAGGTTGAAGGCAGAGAATCGTATTGTTCCTGATGGTGTCAATGCCAAGGTTTGTTTATCCCTAACAAATTAGTGTTAATTTATTTTATTAGTTCCTTAAGCTTGATTTCACGAGCCAATGCCAATATTTAACGATCCATATGTTGTTCTTGTAGCTTTTGGGATGCCATGGATCTTTGGCGTTGCGCCGTCCCGGAGGAGCATTCATAGACGCTGCTGTGAACTGATTTCATGTAATCCAACTTTCCATTCGGAATTAAGATTTTAAATTTTGGGCAAACTTCTGTTGGAGTTTATGTTTGATGTTTTTATCAAGGTTTTTGGTTATCAATATGTTATCAGAATGCTGTTGCTTTGCATGAATTGGCTTGTTATGTTATGAGTCTCTTTTAATGTTCTTATCTGGTCCTGATATATATCTCCATTAAATTCTAATGCTTCTAATGCTTCGTAGACCTGTTGCTGGATAAAGTTTGGAATGTTATAGTTTTAATGGTGTTAACTGTAAATCTATCATGTATGGTGCTTGTATTTTGAGTTTGAAATGGAGCAAGTTGATTGAACTGTGGGATGAATTGTCTTAAAATAACATTTCCTACTTGGATGCCATGCTATTTCAAAATGTTTTGAGTGAAAATCCTAAAGAAATGTATGAAGTACACTGCACAGAATTTGAAGTCCCGATTGTTTCGAAAACCCTTTGCTTGGAGCAAGTTGATTGAACTGTGGGATGAATTGTCTTAAAATAACATTTCCTACTTGGATGCCATGCTATTTCAAAATGTTTGAGTTAAAATCCTAAAGAAATGTATGAAGTACACTGCACAGAATTTGAAGTCCCGATTGTTTCGAAAACCCTTTGCTTCATGAACCGAAGGTTGGGATGTCAAACAAGTTTCTTGGTTACCCTTCACCTGCTATGTTCTCTTTCGGAAAAGCCTTTCGTTTTTTCCGACTTCTTTCTGGGTCTCCGGCTACACAATCCTTCTCATCTTTAACGACTCTACTATCTGTCTCAGTGCTTACTTCCCGTTTGAATTCACAACCTTCTCAACTCTCTTACGAACTCTGTTTTCTGTAGCTTTCTTTCTAATTTGTTTAGGAGCAATTTCATTCTTCGTCGTTGGGGGAGTAACAAATGCATCAAATAAAGCACTTTTCATTTGTTTCCATTATTTATCTTCAAGGGCAATTACTCGTAAAAATGTAGTAAATGAAAATGGTTTTTATTCAATAACTGTAATAGAAGGATTTTTCGCAATATTTTTCTATTCAAACTCCCCCTAACAAATCAACATAAGAAAATTACAAAAAATTATCCCCTAGTTTTAGTACAAGCTAATAGTCGAACTGCCAGGGAAAGGGCACTTCTTACACAATCACACACAACACAATTATCCCCTAGTTACAAGCTAATAGTCGCACTACCGGGGGGGGAAGGGGACTAATTACACAATCACACACAATTATCCCTAGTTCTAAAGTTTCATATCACTTCCAAAAATAAACAAATAAATAAAACAAATCAAAATCATTCAACTAGGTTTGACCAAGTCAATCATCTGTCAAGAGCAACTTGACAGTTCCAGCAATCAAAGCCGTTGGATCACCTAACAGAGTTGATATCACCGTCTGCAAAACCAACCGGACAATCTGAGCGAACTTCTTCAGCTTCCCTTTAGGCTGATGGTACTTTTGAATCATGTTGTTAAGGTTTGGAATTGTGGTCTGCAAATCATCACCATGTCCCGAGCCATGAAGCCATTTTTCTGCTATCAATCTCTTCGCACATGCCACATGCAAATAACATTTCTTGTCCGCGGACCTATAACTCCAGCCCTTCCCTTTATATCCACATTCTTGGCACGATTTTTTCACTTTTTCATACAAATAGAGGTTGACATCTCCAGCCTCGAGCTTCATGGGCAGCTTAGCACAGCAGGGGTGGAGGTTGGACTTGCAGCCTTTGCAATGGTACACAAACCCCGTTCCCTTCTCCCCGCATGCTTCGCAGCTGCGAGTGTTCTCTGGTGGGCTCGGGAGGAGTTGGAAGCTGCAACGGCGTTGGAAGGGGTGGTGGAAAAGGCCCAAAGGGATGGCACAGTGCATTTGGAGATCAAAGCTGCATGAGGATTGGGGACATGTGTAGTGTGAACCTATGCCTGGCTCATTGCACCCGTTGCACATGAACAGCTTCCCTGTCCAACTCTGCTCCAGCTTGTGTTCTGGGTGGCTCGGGTGCGGTATCTCATCGAATTTCGTCATGGCGGCTGCTGTAGGCCTACGTCTGTAAAAGTATATTTTGATTGAAAAAAAAAAAAAGTTAATTGATCATGTGAAAAAGGAAAAAAACACAAACAAAAACTTTAACTTCAAGTTAAGTATTGCATAGAAACACAAAGGACTCGTTTGATGCCTCATATTGGATTGGATTGGATAACTCATTAAGGCATGTTGAAGGAGAAAAAAAAATGAAGAAATTTTGTCCAAGTTGAAGGTAGAAGATGAATTACTTATGAAGAAAACTTATCTAATCTAATTCCTACAACATGGTAGGATCTTAACACCTTATAACTTATATCCCTTCTAATCCTAAAAACGAAAAATATTTCACTTCTACCTCCATTTCCTCCTTCAACTTAACTTAAATCTAAAAGTTATTCAATTCAATCCAATCCTAAGCCCCAGGCGAGCCCAAACAGATTTCATATTCGAAAAACTTTACTTGATCTCCTTGAAGAGAATAAGAATACTCTTTCAAGATTAAAAACTCATAATGGAAAAAATTAAAAAATGAACAGTTTTTATAGTCCCCGATAACTTAGCGTAGTAGGCAATATCCTTGCAGAAGTTACCGCACCAAAATAATTTCAAAAGAACTTGTCAACAATTCCGCAGCTCTAAACGCGTACGGCCTTCTTCCTAGAAGATGCATGGCGGAGGCAAAGAAATTTTCAAAGAGGAGGGGACTAAGCTAAGTCGTGGCTTTCTAGAAATGCATGCGTCGGAGGCAAAGAAATTTCAAAGGGGAAGCTTAGCCATGTCGTGGCTTTCTTTCTAGATGCACAGCGGAGGCCAAGAAGTTTCAAAGAGGAGGGCTTAGCTAAGTCTATTGGCTTTCTTCCAAGAAGATGCATGGCAAAGAGAGCTTAGCCAAGTCTTGCCCTTTCTTTCTAGAAAATGCATGACGGAGGCAATGACATTTCAAAGAGGAGGAGGGCTTAGCCAAGTCCTGGCTTTCTTTCTAGAAAATGCATGACGGAGACAAAGGCATTTCAAAGAGGAGGAGGGATTAGCCAAGCCAAGTCTTGGCTTTCTTCCTAGAAAATGCATGAAGGAGGCAAAGGCATTTCAAAGAGAATGCTTAGCTAAGTTTTGGCTAGTGGTATTGGGCTTACAAACTCCATTAGTTTTTTTTTGGTTGGGCTACTTAGTTTGCAATCGTTTCCCTATCCGAAAAGACCCACTGTAGCCCAAGTAGCTTTTAAAGTAAGTTTGCTAGTGATATTGGGACAAAGAATTAAATAGAGGATCTAAAGTAAACTTTCTCATATGACCCAAAAAAAAAAGTAAACTTTCTCGGCCTCTTGAGCTACAAGTTGCTCAAGATCATTTCTTAATTAATAAGTTTAAATTTCTTTGAAAGCATCAAAACGAACAACCATAAAAACAGCATTAAATTAGGATGATGGCATACTAACAATAAAAGAAAGTACAATAGTAATAAAATTAACAGAAAAACAAAAACAAAACTTTTTTTAACAGGCTAAAATAGAGCACCTTTTTTTGTATGCGTAACTCTTTGATATTCTTTTTTGATATACAACTATATGTCTATTTTTTATATTACGTAAACACATAATAAGAGAAATAGACAAATAATTGCATACCCCAATGTTCGACGCCATCCCCAGTATTCTCGCGGTTATGGTGGGAGAACAAAGCAAAATAACGCAATTAGCAGGCCAACCGCGATTTTCATTGTCGTCGGAAAATATTGACGGCCGAAATTTGGAACAGAGGATGTCACTACCATATTCGATTTCATCAATATCTTCCTTCACAAGATGTCGCCATGAACATGGCCAATAACCAGCACATTATTTTGTGTCCTTTCCTATGTCCCTCGTGCAAGAGAGGAGAAAGGAAGGAAGATTTAAACTGGAAAATTTTGAGATATGCATGCATGACTTTGAGGCTGAAGATTTCAAAGAAGAGGAGCGGGAGAGGCACGTTTGTTTTGAGGGTTCTATATATAGACCTTAAAATTTAATGTTAACCCTAAAATACCCACGCTTACGTCAAGTATGATGAGAGTTGAACAAGTATACTTCAAAAGGATATATACGTAAAAGACAGGGGCTGCCGTAACAATCCCTCTCCTTTTATTGTTGACGTTTCAATTTCTCATCTACACAGGAAGACGAAGACCACTTTCGTACTACCACATGACGTGTCGGCTCCCTTTTTTTTTTGTTGATTAAAATATTTAACCCATAAAAGTTTGAAATTTCTAATTTCAATCCCTCACATTTTCTCTCTTTCTATTTCATTGAACATTTATGTGTTTTTATTTTTTTTTATTCAACTACACATTTTAGAATACCCTACCAAGTTAATTTGTACATTTCAAAATTTCCCCGAACTTCGTCAAGAAATTTAAATCTCACAAACTATGGAATTTTATTTTTTGTAGTCTGTAAGATTAAACTATAAATCTTTAAGGATGATGTTCATAGTATATGTACAGTCACCAACTAGCTACTAGTGCAGTGGTACTTTTCTTTTAAATGTTAAAATTGAAAGATGTCTTAAGTTCGAATATTCCATTTTTCCATTATAAAAAGGTTAATGGAAGTTCATGTGCCCCATTGTCCCGATGTTGGCTTTCGAAGTAAACCTTTCAACAATGGTGTACATGATTCTTTGTTTTACTAAAGTTATGCCCCCTTGAACAAATTTTCTTCCTCCGCCCCTATTCAAGAAATCCTAAAATGGACATCCTGCTGCAGAACTAGCTCAAATAAATATCAGAAAATGGACATCCTGCAAAGCTTGGACAATTGTGGCCTCCCATAGGTGGACCCATGAAACTGGTGATCATTTTTTATGGTGGATCACTGGATTGTACCCTCACCTAGGTGGCCAAGTTGTATTTGCTAACTGAAAGTTTTTGGCTCTACCATAATTTGAAGGGCTACAATATTATATTCCTGTCTTTTTGTGTAAAAATAATGCCTCAAACCCACCCCACTTATGCCAAAGCAAAAGCTAATGCGACTACCTTATACAATGTTTGTAAAGTCTAAATATAATATTATTTATTATTGGTGACAAATTTCTTCGGCTCCTGAGACATATTGGGCAAAGCGAATGAATTCATAGCTCAGTGGTAAGAATAATTGTCTATAAATTAGTGGTCTCGTATTCAAATCTCAACGCCACCTTCCATTACCCTTCCAAACTTTGGCCACTCTTGGCAAAAATATGATGTTATGGCTTGCGTCACTTCAGCCAAAAACCTAAAAGCCCAAAACTATGTTCCCCCATTTGGCCTCAAACAGCCCCTAGTTTTGGGACGTGTGGTGCTAAGTTGCTTATCAAATTTAGTGCAAAACAAAAGAAAAATAAAAAGATCAAAGAATGGCTCTCCAGTGCCCTGAAGGGTTAAATCTAATCTTCACTGGGTTTACTATATATATATATAATCTCTTTCGAAGAATATTGACCTGAACTCAACATCCTCAATACCATTTTCAAGTCAAGTCAGTTTGTGTGAAGAAAAAAAAATTCATAACATGGAAGGGAAAGTTTTCACAGAAGAGCAGGAAACATTGGTGGCCAAGTCATGGGGTGTGATGAAGAAGAATTCTGCTGAATTGGGTCTTAAATTCTTCCTAAAGTAAGTCAGTCTTGCAGTTTTTTTTTTCCATTTACATTTAATTATTTTAAATATTGTTAAATCCTATATGTATGAAACAATTGCAGGATATTTGAAATTGCACCATCAGCTCAGAAGCTGTTCTCTTTCTTGAAGGACTCTGATATTCCTCTGGAGAAGAACCCAAAGCTCAAGCCCCATGCTATTTCTGTCTTTGTTATGGTAATTATAAGCCACCCATGTCCACCTCATTCAAATATTCCCAATAAAGTATTTCCTTTTGGAATGATATGTTGCTAACCGTTAGATTTTGATCCAACGGTTGGTAGGTAGTTAACCATGAATTTTCATGACAATCTTGCAAAATGCAAGGGTAGGTTTAGTACTGCTTCTGCTTGTAGAAAAACTTGAAAATATTTATGATTCATAAAACTGCTTTCTAAACATAAATCATTTTTAAGTGCTTTTTACTGCTTCTGCTTGTAGAAAAACTTGAAAATATTTATGATTCATAAAACTGCTTTCTAAACATAAATCATTTTTAAGTGCTTATTCAGGAATCACTTTTAAGTGCTTTTTCAAAAAGAACTTCAATATTTAGTAAAAATATTTTTATAGTAGAAGCACTTCTAAGAGCAGTCCCAAATTAGTCCTACACTGATGACAACTTTCAATCATATGTTCTTCAATTTGTGTGGCAGACCTGTGAATCCGCCGTTCAACTTCGGAAATCAGGCAAAGTCACAGTGAGAGAATCAACCTTGAAAAGATTAGGTGGAGTGCATTTCAAGTCTGGAGTGGTCGATGAACATTATGAGGTATGCATATATAACTTTTTGTTCGGAAAAAATTGTCATGAAAATTCCAATTATAATTTGAAAATGCAAATAAATTACTAGTAAGTAACTAATTGGGCCGACGCCTCGTTGAACAATTTTCAGGTCACTAAATTCGCATTGTTGGAAACCATAAAGGAAGCAGTGCCAGAAATGTGGTCACCAGAGATGAAGAATGCATGGGGAGAAGCTTATGATCAGTTGGTTGCTGCTATAAAAGCAGAAATGAAGCCCTCCCCTTGAATTAAACACTTCTTCAACACAAGCTCAGCTCTTGCTTCATTTGAAACTTTACATGGAAATAATGCACAGAAAGTTTGCATCAGGGCATGTGCCTCTGTTAATTTTGTTTGATTGTTTGTTATTTTCTTAACCTTTTCTTTTAAATGAACTTTTGTGAGTTTGATCTTTAAAATAAGATTTCACTGGGTTGTAAGCTCATATTTATATTCCCTATAAAAAACATTATTTGTAATTAATATCAGACCAATATAATTTTTTTTTTTTCTGGATGAACTAAGGAACATTTACAGTTAGCCCAACCCAACAATATTCAGAGTATGACTATGACCCAAGCAATTTTTAACTTTATCTGTGATGGGCTAACTTGAGCTAGATTGGGCTCAAGATCATTTGAATCCGGGCTTTCTCAACCCACTAATTTGACTGCAGAAGGTTGGACCAAAATCTTTATAAATCTAAGAATAAACTTTGCTGCTTGCCCAACACTAGCAAAATTCAATTTAACCACCCCAATAGGTTTGTTACTTATCATATTTTGACAACATCCTAAAGCAAATTTTGACTACATCCAATGGGTTAGTGACTTTAGAACAAGTTCTTTAAACTTTGGGCCACGCCATTGAGGATATGGATGACTAAATCATCATCAGTGATGGGAGCATCAATGAAAGCGAGTTCATCGAAAAGGACAATGCTTGGCTCCTCAATACAAGATGTGGCCTTCTTAAAAAATGACACATGTTTCTTTTTTTTCTTTTTTTTGTTTCATTGACTCTCCCTCTGTCTCTTCTCAGCCACTCTCCTCTCCTCCCCCAGCTCTCTCTTCTCTCATCTCCCCATCTCTGTCTCTTCCCATATTTCTTTCTTTTTTTCACTGACTCTCCCTCTCTCTTCTCACCCACTCTCCTCTCCTCCCCCAACTCTCTATTCTCTCATCTCCCCATCTCTGTCTCTTCCCCTGCAATGCTTTAGAAGAAATTTTTAGCCCCTTTCTCTTCCTATCGCTGCTCCTCCATCATCACCCAAACACTATGTATTGATTTCTCTCCTTTTTAATTTTTAATTTTTAATTTTATTGAGTTATTTATTGGGGAGTTTTGGAAATTTTGGGAATGATGGAAGAAAGAGATGGAGAGAAGAGAGAAGAGAGAGCATGGGAGGAGAGGAGAGGCGAGTGGGTGAGAAGAGAGAGAAAGAGAGTCTATGAAAGAAAAAAAAACATGTGTCATTTTGCAAGAGGCCAGATGTTGTATTGAGGAGGAATGGCTCATGATATATTAGGAGCCAAGCATTGTCCCATCGAAAATAACTTATCACATATGCTTCACATCTATATAAATTGTAAACTCAATTTGAATCAAAACTGTTGATGCTCAAAAATGGACGGTCAAGATTGAGCTCAAATTAGAGATGTGAGTTGTGTGAAGGCTAGGGCCTTTAGCAAATGTGTGAAGGCTTGAGCCTTCATTCACCTTAATAAATGGGCTATGTTCACAAAGAAGTATATTCTCACCATAGTAATATGTGTTTACATTGTACAAGGGGTAGGATCCAAAGATAAAGGGAAGGAGAGAGAGAGAGAGCAAGGACCCCTTCTAAGTGGGGAGTGGTCTCCTTTTATAGGTGAGAGGGAGTCTTCACTTCTCTTTACCACAAAAAGATATATAGTTACTTGCAATGGCGGAATCAAGAATTTTTTCAAGGGTAGGCTAAAAAAACAAGAAAGCATCACTTGGATAATTGCGTCAAAAGA